TCATGAAGTTCCTAGAGTAATAATTTCTAATGCTCAAGGAGCACTTACCATGTGGCAGGCACTCTGGTCAGTACTTTACATGAATTGTCTCTGTTAATCCTCACAAAAGTCTCCAGCAGAAGGATAGAGCCGCTGAGTCTTAGAGAGGTTAATAACTTCCTAGGGGTCACACAGCTAGAGAAGAAGCCAGGTTTCAAAGCCAGGGGACTGCACTGCAGAGCCCGTGCATCAGACCCCTGCCTCTGTCCTGCCCTCGGCTGATAAGCCCTCGTCAGCGTGCCTTTCTGTATCCCTCACCTGGCCTCCACTTCTGTGGTCTTTTACTCTAAATGTTTAGGGGTTTCTGAGCAAGGGCAGAGAAGCTGTGCCCAGCAGGTGCTCGTCTTTGAGCTGGATTCTGTCTCTCATGCTGCTGTGCTGCCAGTTGGAGCTACTGCCAAGACCTCCTTTAGGTCTCTTCTCTTGTGGCATTTCCTGGAGTCCCTACCAAGGATGCAAGTCAGAGTTCAGCTCACTGAGGCATGTGCATCCACAGAGATTCAGCCTGTAAGTCCTGGCTTGCACGAAGGTGTCAGCATGCTGGAGACACAAGCCCTGCACTCTGTGTACCGATGAGCATGAGCCTGGCTTCTTGCCAGAAGCAGGGACACTGTGGCCACAGGCATCAATAGATTATACCAGCTTCATCTTGTGATGTTTTATTTTACCCTGCAGCTCCATAGAGAAGAAAAAGAAATACTAAACACCCAGATGGCTGTAAATTCTGAGGCCCAAAGTAATGAAGTCTCTGCCACCAGGGACTCCCCTCCCGCATCCTGCTCCTGCCAGACCCCGTCGTATCTGCTACCCTGGCCTATGGTGACCACTTGGGTTCCTGACATACTGAGTAGGAACTTGGACTACACTGTCACATGGAAACGTTAAAGCTCATCATTCAGCTTGAGAATTTAGCTTCATCGTGGGACAGGTGGGCTTTCGTAGGCATCCTGGGAAATGCATCTCCATTTCCAAATAAAGGCCCCTCAGCCTCCCCTTCGTAAGACAGCACTGTGTGTGCTGCACCCTTTGTGTTCGGTGATTTCAGATGTCACCTCCTACTAGAGGGTTTCTAAGGAAGCCCTGCATGTCCTTTGCTATTTATGGATAACCATGTGGATTTGGCTAGGTTCTAAATCAGTGTCTACTCGTATATTCTTAGAAGGACTTTGACTAGATGTTGAATGTAGTCATTTCTCAGCTTTATGAAAAGAGTATGGCTTTAGGTCAATTAAATGGTGGGACAAGGCTCTCAGCTTTCAACCAATGATACAGTACAATTTATAACTAAGTTCCAGGAACTTGATCACACTCAGCTGAAGTAAATGGGTCTGTCAATATTGAGAAAAGTACGAAGAGGGTGTCTTCTATTTTTATTCAGTTCGGTAAAAATTTGTTACTTAGCCACACAAAGTACAGCTTGGTCTGTTCTGTATCACGGTTAGGGTCTGGGAATGGGAACTTTGAGGTGTTGAGGCTCCTCCTCTGTAGATTTGTGGTGAAGTGTGATACTGCTTAAGAGTTTTGAAACATTAGTGATTTATATATTTGTTTCAACTTGCTGAGAGCATTCTATACCTTCATGGGGGGGGCTATCTTTTAAGTCACAGGAATGAATCAAATTGATCCCAGGTGGACCAACCTGCTCTATGATTGTTTTATTCTTTGGAGAATTGCATTAAGTTTTTTTTTAAGCCACTGAGGTCTCGTTTAGTATCCTTCAAGACCATCATAACATTGTCCAGTTATGAAAACAACCAGTTCTAGCTTAAAAATATACTGTTTTGGTTCCATCGCCTGAAATTTTTTTTGAAGAAATACTCCCTGTACCTTCTCGGCCAATGAAGCACTAATGTACAAAATAAGAGCCTGGCAGCTAAGGATGTGTGAAAAACAACCAGTTCTAGCTTAAAAATATACTGTTTTGGTTCCATCGCCTGAAATTTTTTTTGAAGAAATACTCCCTTTACCTTCTCGGCCAATGAAGCACTAATGTACAAAATAAGAGCCTGGCAGCTAAGGATGTGTGTTCCTCCAACATTTTATTGTGAGTGACTGGGGCTTTCAAGGACGCTGGGCTCAATTGTAAGGCAGAATTGAAGCCTTTGTCCTGTGCCTATAGGACAACAAATATTTAGTGAACACCTGTGCCAGACACTAGAAATACAGTCTGCCCTCGTGAAGACTAGATCTGGGAAGGAAACAGGCATTAAGCAAATAATCACCCAAGTAATCATTTATTGTCATTATGACTGCTAGGGTGGAAGACAATGATGGGCTCAGGGAGCACCCCACAGGGACATGGGCCTCGCCTGGCGTGGAGGCAGCTGGTCAGAGTCCAGCTCAAGGAGGGGAGAGGGGCACATGGAGATGTTAGGCAGGGAAGTCAAGGCACAGTCATGCAGGGCTTTGTAGGCCAAGTTCATTACTTTTGAATTTTATTCTAAGAAGAGTGGGAAACCATTGATGTGTTTCAACCACGGGAGTACAGTCGGATCTGCCTTTTTAAGATGAAACTTTGGCTGCTACAAGGAAAATGACTGGAAGGAGCAAGAGCTGATGGGAGAGACAGATGGGTCGGGTGGATGGTGGTGGAGTGGGGATTGAGAGAGAGCTGTAGCCTGGAAAACACAGGACGTGCTGGTGGATCAAATGCTGGAGAGGAGAGAGAGCAGGCCGTCTCGATGCTGGACTGGAGCCTGCGGTAGGGGAGCAGCATCTGTCTGGGTGGGAGAAGGATGCGATCAGTTCAGAATGTAACAAGATTAAAATGCATAAGAGGCAGCCAGGGGTGATGTTGAGAATGCAGTTGGAGTATGAAGATATAGCCACGAAAGAGGGGTCGAGGATAGAAAAAACGGGAATTGCTGGTTTGCAGTAACGGAAGCATTCATCGAGAAGAGAGTCTGGCCTGAGCTCTGAGAACTCAAAATAAGGGAAGAAAAGCCAGCTAAGACAATTGATAAGAATGTAGAAGGAACACCAGGAAAGTCTGATGCTGTGGAAGCAAAGAAAATTGAATATTCAGGCCTAAAGATGGAGTTAAAGGGGCCAGCTCTGCAGAGTGCTGCCCAGAGGTTGAGTTAGGTAACAGCATCCTTTGGTTTCAGTGACAAAAAAGATATTTAAAATGTAGTTTTGTGTGGTACTTTCTAGAAATGCTTTCATTTTCTCTCTGGGGGAAGGGAAGCAACTTGCTCAGGAAGTCAGAAGATCTGGACTTAGAGTGAAAAGATGTCAGTCTGCATTTGAGGGCCACATGTCCTACCTGTGGGCCCTGGCAGTTCTCTTTAGTCTTTCCACACTCCCACTTCCCGAGCTCTACAGGAAGGTTAATAACAAAGCTTCTACCTGCCACCGAAGTTGTTCTGAGTATTATCCAGAAAACTGGACATGAAAGAACTTTGTCAACTGCCAAGAGCTGGACAGATCTCACTTTTGAAGGACGGGTCAAATCTTTGCTTAAATATTGGTAACGAGCCCCGCCTCAGGCTTCTGTTTGGAGGACTGTCCATCCTTACATGCTCATGCATTTGTCATGGGCCTCTGCTCACACTCCCTCTCAGTGTTTGCTTTTCACTAAGGGGGACCAGGCCAGTCGCACAGGATCTGCGCCAGCTGGAGCCCCCTCGCAGAGCAGCCTCTGGTGTGTGAGGATGTTCTTTGGAACCTAAGCAGTTTCTCCCAGAAGCTCTTAGACGCTCCCCAAAAGCGGGAGGGGAGGTTACATGTTTCTTTAAGAGTCACCGTGCAGGACAACATACTGAGGCTCTGAAAAGTCGTTGGGCAACAGAGGATTTGGTAAAATTCTGTTGAGAGGAAAATGGTATTTTGGTGAACAACACTGACTCCAGACCTTAAGATGCAAGGTTCAAATCCCAGTTTTCTTCCTTATTAGATGTGTGACCCAGGCTAAGTTCTTTAACTTTCCTGTGCCTCAGTTTCCTCATCTGTAAAACTAGAAATAACAATAGCATTTACCTCATGAGGCTGTTAGGAAGATTAAATGAGTTAATTTGCAGAAAGCCTCAGAACATCACCGATACATAGTGAGCACCCCGTAAATATTATCTGTTATTGTTATTGGCATAGGTGTCTTTGACTAAAGTCAGAGGAATAATTTTCGAAAGTTTGAACTTCTTTAAATGCTGTAGTAAAACCTTCTTGACTTTGTTAAAATAAATGTACTAACAGGTAAGCTTCTTTTCATGCTTTGGGAAGAATATTTGTTATAATACTAGGAGAAATTCAGTTAACTCATTAAGAGGAAAAAAAAATGTCTAATAGCTTTTGAATGGCCAGCTAGTAGGTTAGTGTAAAGGACACCAGCTTTGCAGGTCAGGAGGCCAAGGATTAATCCTAGCTATGTGGCGTGGGGCAGATCACTTAACCTCTCTGAGCATCAGCTGCTTTACATGCAGTCAGTATAATACTTACTTGGCAGAATTGTTGTGACAAGTAAAGGAAACCATATACATAGAAGGCTTGGCACAATGCCTGACACAAAAACGAATTGGTACTGATGGGTGAGTATGTTATCGTTATCTTAGAACCTTTGATTTCAAAGAATAGTTAATTTTGTTTTTTACCTTTAATGGCTATTTGTATAGTTAGCATTTCCCCATTCCCTGCCTTCCTTAATTCCATAATGTACCTTCCCTGTCTACTGTAAAACCCGGACTTTTCCATCCCCTTTTGAGGGCTTTATTCCGAGAGCACCCCATTCACTGCATCTTGCCGGGGTGTCTGCTGTTCACTTAGCCAGCAGTCCTGGCCTTGCCAGCACAACGAGGCTGCCCATTCCTCATCCTTCTGGGTGCACCTCGCCTCATAGGGTCAACTGCCACCTTGAGAAGTCTCCTCTTCTCAGTCAAGCCTAGAGGACCTTCCCCTGGAGAAAAGCTGCCTTTTGATGGATTCTTTCATCCGTGTTTCTTGCTGTCATTTCCAACACTATATAATTATTATTCCATCATTGTCAAGTGGCTGTTTAAATCTCCTACCAATATCTAAACAAAACCCATAAGAAGACAGAGATCTCGTGACATCTGAATAGTAAGCTTCCAGGCATCAGGGACACGGGACTTTAGGAGTGACTCTTTCACCACGAAGGTAGAAACAAGGTGGTCCAGTATGAGACTGCCTGGGTTTGAATCCTGGCTCTGCCACTTACTGCCTTTGTGATCTGGGGCAAGACATGACTTCTCTGTGCCTCAGTGTGCCCATTTATGAAATGGGATAGTAAAGATTTAAAGGACTAAATAAATTAATACATAGAAAGCACTGCCTGCATGAGTTCAGGTGTTGCCCAGGAAAGGAAAAGCCTATGTTTCCACCACCTGCCTTGTTGCCACCCTGAGTCATCTCTTGCCAGGGGGAGGGATGGTGCCAAAGGCAGCTTGAGCAGACTCTGTGGGAAGGCAGAAGCTACACACGGGAAAATCAGCGTGGCTTTTCCCCAGTGCAGCATCCCCACCACTGTACCCAATGCCCAGGCCATAAGCCGGAAGAGAGCACCGTGAGCAAGAATAATTCCCTGCTTCAGGGCCTGCAGTGTTAACTCATTGGCACTGCTGAGAAGTGGCCTCTAATTCACTTAATCATTAACTGCAGGCATCCTAATATGTCCCGTGCGCGGTGCCCGGCTGGCAGGGGGCAGAGCAGTCCTTTATTCCTGGATGTTGTTAGTATCAACAGGAAGACTGAACACTTTCTAGCTGGGTTTTTGCCCTGTTATTTCAATCACTGAACAGAAATTTTGAAAAAGCTGGAAATCAGGCTGGCAAAGCGGATGCTCGTTGTTCAGACAGAGCCTGCCTGTTGAATTTGGTCAACAGCCAGTAGTCGCATGCACGTGCAAGTCACACTGTGCTTCAGGAGGGTGGGTGTCCTGTGTGGATACAAGGAGCCCTGCTTCTCAGTGGGTCCCAAACAAGGGCTACTTGTTCTAACTTGCCTGCCATCCTGCAGGAGGTCTGGCCTTGTCTGCTCTGTCTCCTGGATTCTGTGATGGGAGGGGTTTCCTGCTAAGATAAAGAAGTTGGGCTGAAATCCTGGACTGCAATTTAAGATGCTGCTGAAGTCCTTTCGCCCAAACCCCTTACGTGGGTGGTAGGAATGGTTTCTCATCCCTGCATGGGATGAATGGACATCACACAGGACAGCCTTCATTTCGAGGGTCTTCTTGGAACTTGTTTTATTACAGCTAGTCTGTGTTTCTTTTGTTTCACAGCTCTCCTAGTTATTCCTGACCATAGAACTATGACAATCAAATAGTTTCACAGAAAGTATTATTTCACGTGACATTTAAATCAAATTATTTTCACTTCGACTCTTATTTTCCCGGATGAGCAGATTTATAGAGTCATGGAGGTTAGGGAACATTAGGGACCTCAAAAGCGATCTCAGCCAATTCTTCTCTCTAAGCAGGAATCTCTCTGACAGTATTCCTCAAACAGGGTCATTTAACCTGTTCAATTATATGATCTCTCCCTATATGTCCATGGGCTTGAGGCAATACATTCTATTTTTGAACAACTCCTAATGTTAGAAAATGCATCTTGTTATTGATTTAAGTCTTTGTGACATCCCTGTATTTAATACAAGTTATGACAAATAAAACTAAAACACCTTCCACATCAGCCCTAGAAATGTTTGAAGACAAAAATAAAGTTCTCCAAGTGTCACCAGTTCCTGCAACCTTTCTACATATGACATAATTTGGTATCTTCGGTATCATCTCAGATGTGCTGGAGTGGCCTTCTCTGTAAACATTGCATTAGTAAACTGGTTTTTTACAGGCTTGGTTTCATTGGACTCAGTCTGAGAGTCTTGTACTGGGGCTTCACAATGATGGCAGAAGGCATTTGAGTTTTATCTGCACTTGACGTTTACACTAACTACAGAGTCATAGGTAGAAAATATGGTATTGTAGATCAATAAAGTAGTACTAGGGATGTCCCTCGGACCATTCTTGCTTCTCTATATGATACCCAGGAAAACTCAAGTAGCTTTTCTCCTGGGGAAATTGAGGCTCAGAGATAATAAGGAGCTTGTGAAGAATCACACTGACTAGTATCCAGAGCCAGAACCAGAATTCTTCCCTGAGCCTCCATGCAGCTCAGTCTGTTTAGAACCCTTCTCCCTTTTCCTGTGTACACAATGACCAGCTTGCACAAAGTCACTCGACAATGCTCAGCCCTGGGGCCACCTACTGACCAAAAGCTGGCCTGGAAGTACAAAGAAAAGGCTTCATTTATGCAGTTAATTTTTCAGGAAAGCTCTGAAAGTGTAAGTAAGATGGTTTATCTCTAATAGCATAAAGTAGGTATAGAAAGAAAGGAATGGGGTATATTCAGCCTGTCTAGCTTTCTCAGTGTTCTCTGATTACTGTTTCTGTGAAGAAAACATAGGTAACAGAGTAAAAATAGAAAGAGGAAAAAACAGCAGCTTGAAAAAGCATAATATGTCTTTCACTTTGTCTATGTGGATGGCTCAACCTGCTTCTTTCGAATCCATAAAGGCAACATGGCTAGAGCCAGGCACTGAATGCAAGACCTGGCTTTGCACTTACCACGTGAGTGAACTTGGGCAAGATATTGTCCCGAGTGTGCCTCAGTTTCTTTATCTGCCAAATGGGGGTGGTGATGAGAGGACCTGCCTCAAAGAGCTGCTGTGAGCATTCAGTGAGTTAATGTGAGTAAAGGGGCTGAGGAGGATATTTGGCATCACAGGAAGCACAATGTAAGTGTTTGTTCTTAATGTTAGTGATTGTTATTCTTTTTTGTTATTATTACATTGATGTGTAGTGAATTCAGAGGTGCCAACCTGCTTCCCCATCACTCTTGGGTCCTCAAGGTTTGGAATCCCAGTTTCAGTTGCAAAGAATCATGTCTTTGCCCTGCAGTGGTTAGTTTGCAATGATCTTTCCAAAACCGAAACTTCAGCAAATGTTCAATGGGTAAAAGGAATGCCCAGAAGCTTGCGTGCCTCTCATCACAAGCACACCTCCTGTGAAGCTGTGCAGAACAGTCCTATTCAAAGTGAGGGGGCAGGTATGATGTGCAGTCGATTCAAAAGACCACACTGGGTCCTTTCATTCCCAGTGACTTTGAACAGAGAGCCCCTGTGTTGAGGGGATGGTTTGAGGTCCTTCCCCAGTAGCTTGACTTGGTCCTGCACCAGCTGCTCTCCTGTCCTCTGGAGGCCGACTCAGGTCTTCCACAGTCACAGTGGGGGTCCCTCTCACCACCTCCAGGAGGTCACCCAGGATGAAAAGCAAGAGGAGTTCTCCAAGGGCAGACAAGAATTCTGCTTCGTTTCACTTCTCGTTCTGAATTTTTAGTAGATATTTGCTTTGCAGTGTAGCACATTCTCGCTCAGACCGTTAGAATGAGCAACCTTGCGAGATGAGAGTTTGGGTGAAGGTAACTTACTCAAGGTCATACAACATTCATTCATTCATTAAACACACATTTATAGAGCATTGCTGTGTGGTCTTGAGTGCTGCTGGTCATCTCGATGGCAGCGCAGGACCAGAATCTGGTCTTACTGTTTCTGATCCGGTGTTCTTTCCCCAAGTGCTGCTGCCTCTCTTACCGCCTTCCTCCCCCAATGACATGCTGCATCACACCTATGGGATAGTAATTCTCCAATGCAGATGTTATGTCTGAGTCCATATGATGGGAAATGTAATATATGTGAAAAATGGACCCAGAGCCAAGGTTTGCTTTTCATTGGTGTGTTTGTTTATATCTTTCTTATGGCTTTTCTTCATTCCAAGAAGAGGACTCCAGCTGGCTTACAGAGATTAATACAGCAACTAAAAATAACATAAACAAAGAAATAAAGGAGAAGGGAATATAAATGTATTAGTGCATTTCTGCTGCTTATAACAGAATACCTGAAGCCAGGTCACTTATAGAGAAATGAAATTTATTTCTTACAGTTTTGGAGGTTGGGAAGCCCACAGTCCAGGAGGTGCATCTGGTGAGGACCTTGTCTGGGTGGTGATTCTCTACAGCAATGCAGGGTGTCACATGGTGAGAATGGACTGAGCAAGAGAGAGCTAATTTCCTCACTTGCTGTACTTATAAAGCCATCAGAACTATGCCTGTTACTCCGTGAATGGATCAATCCATTCACAAGGGCACAGTCCTCACAATCTAATCATCACTTAAAGGCTCTGCCTTTCAAATACTGTAATCGGATTTCCCACCCTCTTAACAATGTCATGATGGAGGTCAAGTTTCCAATATATGAACTTTTGGGGGACACATTTCACCCATAGCAATAAGGTAGAAGAGAAAAATAAGATGAAGGCAGGAACAGGGGTCAGTTCAGAGAATACCTGCACAACACGGTGTTCAGTGCAGTTGCCTAAGGTAAACCACCAACCTGGTTCTGAGAGTCCTCACACCTCAGAAAAGTGGCACACACCAGTGGTTCAAAGTTCATGCTGCCCATCAGATAAAAGTAAGCCAGTTACTCAGACATGCTTTCTGAGATTGTTGAAAACCTTTACACTTGCCTGGTCATGGTCGAGTAGTGTTATGAATAATGTCTGAGACAATATTCCCACCATAGACACAGTGGTTAGCTTTATTCAGCAATTCTGATAACATCAAAAAATGCAGTTTTATGACATAACAGTTCATCAAAGTCACTTCCAAGAGCCAGAGCATGCTGGTGCAGGTGCACACCTTCCTGCTTGTCTAAGAGCATGTAAAGAAACAGAGGGAAAGAAAGATCGACTCCACAACTTTTGTGATGAACATCCAGGAGGATTATTTCTTATAACTAGGCCTTTAATCAGAATTCAGTATTTAAGGGTTGAAGTGATATTCTCTAGGAAGACTTTAAAGACCAGAAATTGTGCATAGTCAACTTGGGATAAGGGTATTACCTTTGATGGTCCCTGAGCAGGAGGACCGGATTCATATTTCCTCATTAAAATTAACTAGCCGGTTCATATGCTTGGAAGTTCAGCCACACAGCCTCAGCCTGGAGGTGGCTTGAGGGTAATGCCCACGGGGAGGATCAAAACCGTCCTCAAAAAGAATCTTTCTTGGAAAACACCAACAGAAGACAAAAGGAACAAGAAAGCCCTGGCGATCTACTCCATAGAGCAAAGCAGCAATGACTTTGGCTTGGAAAACTTTCAGAGTAGATATTACCACTCATCCCCCACCCAGAAAAAAAAAAACTAAGAAACTTATAAGAACCCACCAAATGTCTCCTTTTAGGGAATATAAGCTTTGGCAATGCCTCCAAGAGGATGTAGATGAAAATATACTTCCAGGCAGTTTAGTATAGGTGGAGTTCCCTGCCAAGACTTTTAGTTGGTTTAAGCCATTTTTTTGACAGCAAGACCACTGTTATCACTGTGCATAATTTTAATAAAATTTAGAAATACTATTTGATTCTTCCCTTTTCCACTTCCTCTAGCTTAGACTGTTATTTCCTCATTTTATTTGCATGCCTTTCTGTGAGATGGCAAATAGGGACCATTCCAATGCCAACTGTAGGCAGCTCTCTTTTTAAAAGAACATTCTCAGGCTCTGACTTTGCTCAGCACAAAAGAATGCTCTGGCCCATGAGGGCTGTCTAAGAAGAGCATAGAAGAGCAGAGGTCTGGTCCAGAGCTCTGCAAGGCTTTCACCCCTTCTGCTGCTTACCCAATCTGCAGTATTCAATGCAACAAATATGAGGGGTCTGCAAAAATTTTATGGAATGATTCATATTATCTTTTAATTCTATTTTTCTGCTAACTTTTAAAAATACCCTTATGTCAGTGGTGCCAAGCCGTGTATGGGAAACAATGGGAAATTGAAACTGGAATGGAACAGATAGCTTTCAACCTAGATTGCAAAGTTGATAAAACATATTTAAAAAACCACAATGTAAGGAACAGTGTGATATAAACCATAAGTATTGGTAGGGGAGAAATACTGCAGAGAAATTTGAGGGGATACCAAACTGTCTTCTTTTACTTCCAGTTTCTCACTCTGTTCACTTTAACAAACTTATGTGCACCTGCCAGGTGCTGGGCCCTGCAATGAGGAGTTGGGGTACAGCAGGAGTCAAGCACAGGCCTTGCCCTCAGAGAGCTGCTTCTAGCGAGAGTCATCAAAGCCTCTTAAAGGTATCTGTCTAAAGCCACAGATGTGCTCTTTCTCTGACATGTTTTGGTATGTCCCTTCAAATAGCCTCATGCCCAGGAGGAGAGAAAGCAAACATTTTCCAGGAAAGGCAGTAACATTAAGACACAGCAGCTGGAAATTGGCAGGGTGCCCTCAGAAGGTTGGGGAAGTGATTTATTTTTCCAACCTCTCCACAGGAACCAAAGCCCTGGCAGATGCTTCCATGTGTTAGTGGCAGCTGATCTGAGTGAGATCATTATTAATTATTAGTCACTTTTGAGTGTCTTTCTCAGAAACTACAGAGTACTTGGGAAACACAGACTCTCTTGAGTTGTAATCAATACCATATACACCTTGCATGGGGACTTGAGTGGCATGCAATTATAAAACAGTATTGATTCCTGGCAAAGGGGTTGAAAATGTACAAATCCTTCACATAAAAATCAGCTAAATTTTCAAAAGGCTTGATCATTTTTTTTCCTTAAGAAAGAGACCAATGGTTGGAGTAAATAACTAGAAATGTTAACTAAATTAGGGCTGTTTCCTGCCAGGAGCCAGATCTATACACATAATTATTTTATTCTCTGTGCTGGCACTGGTTCACTTCAGATGAGTATTGGAAATGTCTTTGTTTTGGATCTGTAATCCAAATTATTCAGTTGGTTCCTATATATTGATGTATTCTCCTCGCATCTTCCTGTATTATATTTCTGTTAAACCAATAATTGCATGTCTGGGACATGACTCATCCTCATCCCCAGCCCACCCCAGCTTTCCCTCCTCTTCCCATCCCTCTGCCCAGAGTGCTCCCTTGCCAGGAGCTTCACCCACCCATACACACCCCACAGTCACCAAAACCTGCCTATTTTATTTTGGCCTATTTCTAGTTGCTACTTCTAAGTTGGTGTCCACTGCAGTCCTGTTAGAATGGCCGGAAATCTGGATTGTTTTTATTCTTTCTTCTTTTCACTGCATCTCCTTCCTCAGCATCAATTGTGCACGTGGACTCCCAGCTGCCTGTGCTTACGTCATCGATGCCTGTCATTTTATGCCAAGACCCACAGACTGGCCTCACACTGATTTTCAGCTCTAGTCTTGCTCCCTCCCATGGCTGTTAGGGGGCCTTTTGAAAATGCAGAACTGATCATGTCATTTGGCTGCATAAATGGGAGCCCTCCAGTGGCTCCCTGTCACCTACAATTTAAGATGGACAAATAATTGTCAATCTGGAAGTGATAGATGTTGAGTCTCAAAAGATGCAGCTTATGTCCCAAGACTCAGGCTATTGGAAGAGAGCAGGTTCAGAGGTTGTAGCGGGAGCTACATCACGAAGGCTTCCTTGGGCTTCTTTGGTATTCTAAATATCTGAAGTTGGTTTAGTCGGGGCTGTGACAGAGAACTTTCATACAAAAGCTGTTTCCCTGGTTGTTTAGAGCTACCTCGTCAGTGTGTTATAGCCGCTTCATTCTATTCCACGTACCTTTTATTTCCTCAGCCATGCAGTGAAGTGTTGTTGAGAATGTTACAAGGGAATGGGCCCCCTGGTGTGTACCCTTTTATTTGAGGAAGAAGAGATCCCAGTGCCAGTATGGGGATCTGACACAAAAGGCTTGCAGCCTTTCTCAAAAGGGGTGCTAATGTTGTATGGGAAAATCCTGTGCATTGCAGGATTTTTGGCACCCTTGCACCTCATTCTAAATGCCAGTCATGTCCCCAGTCATTGGGACAACCAGAAAAGACTTGCCCCCACATAGTTGCAAATGCTCCAGAGGTGGGGGAATGGTATTACTTCTACTTGAGAACCACTGGCTTCTGTAACTGCTTGGCCTGGTTCTAACTTCCCCCGATATGTTCTTTCCTGAGTATAATCTGTGAATTTTCTGTCACTCCTCTTGTCTCTGCATCTTCTGTAATGATCAAGCTCAGTTGCTGGAGTACACTGCCTGGCTTTGTTTTTTCATTTGTTCTGTTTTGTTTTTGTGCTTTTTTACATCATCATTAGATTTTTATTATAAATGAATATATTTATACTAAATTTGGATTAGAATTAGATGTAATTCACACAATACATAATTAAATAACTTGCTTTCTTCCTTTAATGGTTTTTCTCAAAGATCTTTTTATGATCATTTAATTTTGAGTCTTTTGAAATAGATGTGAATAGATACACTGGATTTTGTAACACGTCATTGCCTTTTTTATTGCAAAATTGCTGTTTTAGGTTTCTTGACAACTAAGAAAGCACACTGCCTGGCTTTGAAATCCAGCTCCACCACTTACTGGGCGTGACCTTGAACAATTACTTAATTCTACCTGTGCCTCCGTTTTCTCATATGAAATGGGGATAATAATACTATTTACTTCAGATTTTTGTGGAGGTTAAATAAGGTACAGCATGTAGAGTGCTCACCACACTGTCCACTGTCGGACATATGATGGAGATGACCGTGATGGTGATGATGATGATGATGGTTCCTGAGCACAAGGATCCTATTTGAGTGAGAAGTTGAAATTGACACTTAACATGAATACCCGAGCAAATATAGAGAGGCGTCACGGTATACGAGGGAGGGTAGGCACTGGGCGGGAGTCCATAAATTCTTTTGTACCCTCAGCCATTAACTTCTGTATGGCATCGAGTATGTCACTTCACTTCTCTTACTTTTGGGTTCTCTATCTAGGAAATGTTTGCGCTACATGGTGTCAGAAAGACTGAATGACATAAGCGTTATGAAGTAACCTCATAAGCAGTTTGATGATATGTAATAAGTAACGTATTTTGCATTGGTGTTACCTACCCCTGGTTTGAAAACCCCACCAGTCACTGCAAAGACGTGCTTAACAGGAACGTCTCGGTGAGAGTCCAGTTAGCGGTAAAAGGCAGGGTGCTCTGAGTGACACTGAATCTCTGTCACCCCTTCCTGCCAGCGTGCCCCCCAACAGCCCAGGAGAGAAAGAGCCTTGAGCGCTTGGGCATCTCTAGTTAAGAGCTCGCGTCCGAAGTTAGCTCTGCTGCTAGCTTCCAGACACCCGCGCCAGTGCCCGTTGCCTTCACGGTTGTCTGCTTGCTGCCCCACAGCAACAAAGGCGAGAGAAGGAGCTGCGGAAGCAGCAGGAGAGGGAGCAGCGGCGGCACTACGAAGAGCAGATGCGCCGGGAGGAGGAGAGGAGGCGCGCGGAGCACGAGCAGGTACCACCGGGGTCGGGGAGGCCAGCGACGGCCCGGCGTGAACTCACTCCAGCCCCGGGCGTCTCTGGGGTGTGGGGCACCTTCTCTTAGCACTACTCAGCTGAAGCGGGTTTTTATCCTTAATCAAGCAACTGTTCTCAACCTATTCAAAAAGTCAAATGCACAAGCTTGGCAATGCCCACTCGTTCAACCTTGCTTCCTACCCAGGCCAGAGTCCCCTGACATCCCTAGATCTGATTCTCCCACCCGTGTGTGTCTGTTTTGAAGGTAGCACTGAAGCAAGTCCTACTCTTTCATTGCTTCAGAAGAGCTTTTCTACTCATGCCGTCTCTGGTCTCTGTGGCTTTGAGTCACTGATGCGGGCTCTCCTCTTTTGGCTAGAATCACATTCTGGCAGCACTGTGGAACTCTGCAGGACAGTTCCATTACAAAGACAGTGCACGGTGGCATTTAACAATTGTTTTTTCCCTGCTGCTTGCACAGGAGCCTCTGAACTTTATGGCATTATTAATTCCAGGTAGTCCATAAAGAGAGGAAGCTGTAATGGAACACTTTAAAATGTAGCTGGGTTTATTAAAACCAAGTAGTAATGGTAAAATGCTGCCAGCAGTTGGCAGGTAGAGGGCTTGTGCTTTTGACTACTTGAAATGCTTTTGCTTTGGTGTGGCATGCTCTTCCTGTTTTGTGAGGAGGTATCTGGGTATTTTTTCTCCTCCTTCCTTCTACACTTTACTTGGCAGCTCTTGTCACCTTTGGAATTACTGGTTCTTTTTCTCTCTCTTTCTCTTTCTCTGAATTCTCTGCTGCCTACCTCTGCAGGAGTACATCAGGCGACAGTTAGAGGAGGAGCAGAGACAGTTAGAGATCTTGCAGCAGCAGCTACTGCATGAACAAGCTCTACTTCTGGTAATGGGAAAGCCAACAGCCAGCTGACCTGCTCTGTGTTCATCTCGTGTGTGTGTGTGTGTGTGTGTGTGTGTGTGTGTCCTCCAAACGTGCCAGTCTGGAAGAGAAGATCCTCTAAGCCTCGTGAACCTCAGATATCTCATAGAAACTTAGGACATTTCCTGACCCAACTTGCTGAGTCTTAATACGTTTAATACAATTGTTATGCATTCTTGATTAACTCTGTGTACTTGTGAAACTTTAACATGAATCCAGCCTTAGTATGAGTTCAGACCACTTTTGAAACCCACTGTGTTTATTGCAGAGTAATTTTAAGGCTATTTGCAACATGCTGGAATACAATCACAGCAAAATGCACCTCTTCTTTAAGAACCCACTCAGCTCTGCAGTCATATTTCATTTTCAGACTATTAGTTTTACCCTGACGATGGGAACATTTTGTGTTTCCTGCTCATGCGGCTTCCACTTGAAATACTTTTTTATTATTATTGCACTGCTCTCCAAATGGGCTTCTTGGTGTATCTTTTTTTAACTGAACTTTTTGTTCAACGGCATTCTGATGTTTTTTAGCCTGTACATACGCTTCAAATGGTTTTTGTTGACCCGAATTTTATAAACAAAAGATAATGTAGGCACTTTGGCTGCTGATTTAATTTTGTACTTAATTATACATGTTTTGAGACATGGATGGCTCCTGATAGGGGTGTGTGCTGACCATCTAAATGTCCTCGTTGTCGCCATTTTCTCAATTGCGGTTCATCAGGGACAAGTCACTCTGCAAGTAGCAGTGTTCTGTAGGGAATGCCATTAAAGCAAGAGTTTCCATTCAGTGACACCTTCTGTGTGGATATAACACAAAGCTGTAGCTTATTTATATGGCACACCCTGGCATCCTCCCATAGTTCTGTTAGTATTAAAGAGCCTTGTCATTGAGCGTAATTTTGCCTTCATTGCATGCCTAACTGGTATTGGCCAAAGGTTTCCAGGTGGTAATTTGGCTTTTCCTTTGGCGCTATTTCTTGATCTGGACAGGAATATAAGCGCAAACAATTGGAAGAACAGAGACAAGCAGAAAGACTGCAGAGACAGCTCAAGCAAGAGAGAGACTACTTGGTTTCCCTGCAGCATCAGCGGCAGGAGCAGAGGCCCGTGGAGAAGAAGCCACTGTACCATTATAAAGAAGGCATGAGTCCTAGTGAGAAGCCAGCATGGGCCAAGGAGGTAAGGCACCAAGTGTGGCACACCTTGTTGGCCATGCTTTTGGCTGTAATGAGTTCATCCTGTAGACATGGAGTGTTATAGCAGTGCTGCAGAGTCAGAAAACAGTCCACTGCCAGACACACGCTTTGCATTTGGAAGAGCTATAACATCATTTCTGTAGAGAAATAATAGCAAGGCACTTTACTTCCTTTGTGGTTCTTTTTTTGTATATCTCTGTGGATAGCATGGATTTTTGTAGACAATAACAAGAAGTAGAAATTCCTTTTCCTTACAGCAGTCCAGTTGAATTCATGGCATGAGGATTTGC